GAATCATAGCATTGATTCTTCATTGTACTGGCTCTGAAAGAGCTGTCTATTCAATGTTCACCCGGCGTTGCAAACGAGGTTATTGTGACGAATATATATATACATATATATATATATATATATATATATACCTTTTAATGTCAGATACGTAGCCAGTGGCATTTGATTCCACGGAATCAGTGCTATTTGAGGGGATCTCGGCCTCAATAGAATTTACTCACTAGGATATTGTGGGCCTTGACTGAATCCATTCATACAATGAATCATGCTCGCATTCGGGCCCTAGCGCCGTGATCGATTTATCGATCCATCTTGACGTGACCCGCTTCTTTACCCGACCGGCCGAGGTCAATTAGCGTCAGGTTAGTTCATTCCCGTTTATAAAGCCCACTCGATCAATACTAAAGGGCATACCGTTTTTCGGGCTGGAGGAAGAGGACGGACATCTGCACTCGTAGAAAATTAGTCCTAGCATTTCGCATTCCCTAACTGACTACCCATTTGTATAACAATGACGTAAGCTAATTATCCCCATTGCATAATTTGCCACTCATTCGATTATTTCTCAATAGAGTTAACTCACTCACCTTCTCCGTCCTTTCGAAGGGTCACTCGAGATATTTTTCAACTTTTCTTGTTATTTTTGTTTCCACACAAATCTGACTGTAATGATTTCAGAATGAAATCGCATTAAGCTCTCTCGGGGTATTCCAATTACGTTAATGATACCTTCCAGTAGAAGTTCATGGAATATTTTGTGGTTCACGTTATTTAGTTTTATTCATAAATCGGTCATTTCGTAAGCAGTTCATTGACAGAGAAAACCGAAGCGACCCAATTTCAGCTTATCAAATCTGAGCACTCTTGTAGTTGCTACTATTGGTTCCATTTTGTGTCGTGGTCTCGATGTATTGCCAGTTAGACACTGTTCATATTCTTGCCTTTTTCAAAGCACTCCACATCGGTTAAGGCGTACGAGAGATTGTTCCTCGGGTGTCGTGTGTATGTGTAAAGTTACGCGACAATGTGATACTTCTAATGCCCTCAGAACCAATCGGATGAGAATCAGTGGTGCCCTATCGGTCTTTTATATTTTTTGAGGCAACGGAGAGCTTTTAACCATCAAACGGAACTTTAAAATACGATCTCAATTTAACACTGAGCTGTTTGAGGGCCACAACGATTAACTCTTTATTCTGACATGTCACATCGGTGCGTAACATTGTTCATAATCTGCCGTATTTTAAATCTTCCTTTTCTATCAGCTTCATCAGTCAGCCCACTTCGTTCGTTCTGTCAACCAGCGTGCTTATGATAATCGTTTTCGTCTTCAGCCTATCGCGGATGGCTTTTGAGGCATCCGCGGCTGAACGACGTCGCGTCGAGGGAGATCAACAAGAGAAGCCATCGACTTCCTCGTCCGGCACGCAAAACAATCGAGCCTCGGAAACTAGGTCAGTGCCGTCATTTTTATTTCAAGTAATAGCGTTTTACACAATTTTTTAATCGTCTGTCTGTTCAGAAAACAGATTAGTGAGTTAGGAGCACTCATGCCTATGTATGACTTTGAGGTTCCTTCTAAGTCTATTGGTAGATGAGACACTCAGCAATTCAATTTGTTTAGAAGGTCGATTTATTCAAAGAAACACTGAAAGGTTTCAGTTCGTCACCTGAGGTCAAAAATCTCATAATGGTGACTGGCCGTCTGTGCTTGAGATAGAAGACAATAGGAAGGGAAATCACTTAATCGAGTACTGAATAATATTAAACAAAATGGTAACCGGAGGAAACGACAATGGAGCAACTGACGACCTGAGGTTAAGTATGGATCTTTTATCAACTTTGAATTCAGGGTAGAAAGAGGCAATAGAACACAAGGCTCCACCGCAGATGTGGCTACACTATTCACGTGTCGATTGGGTTTGAATGTTGCACAAAAAAGAAAATGAACAAGCGTAGAAAAACGTCAGTAGCTTATTAACAAACCTGCTTTGTGCACAGCACGAAAGATAAGTTTGGAGATTAACAGAGACAACTTTACGGATGAACCCATGAAGGAGCGTAGAGTTCGAACTTGAAGTGAGTCAAAATTCGTTTGGGAAGAATATGTGACTTATTTGCGAATAACTGAAAGGAGATAGTTTTGGGGGGTATTTAAAGAAACCTGATTGGTAGAACCTCATTCGGAAATGAGTTTAATACTTGTTGCATACTTACTGAAATTTCAAGGTTTCGCTCATTTCTAGCTTTATTGCCTTACATTGGGAAGCCGGTTAGCTGTTATCTGCTAGTTGTGTCATTCGGAGTGCGAAATCCGATTGTGCGCCAAATAAATCACGGTATAAAAATTTCTTAACGAAGAAAACGCTTTCTGATTTACTTGCGAGCGCAATACTACCAGTTTGTCCTGGCCAAAGCAGGTAAATTTTCCTGAGGAATTCTCAACCAGAGCCTTCGACTAACCAAGACTTGACCCGCAAGGCATCGAGGCGGTGTGTGAGAACCGTGGTCTGTTGGGGTCGGTGTCTAGTTCATTGCGTCATGTGCCCTTTCAGCGGGCTCATTACATGCAAGGTATCCCGTTCATCTTGATGCCCAATTGATCTCGTGACCACTGACACAACCAGAAGGGTGTGTTGTTCGTTCACATCTTGGTTTGTTTGGAATCAGGGTGTTTAGTCAGCTCACCTAGGGGCTGTGACAGTGGTTCACGAACCCAGTGGTAGCTCCGAGTGTTGGGTTTTCATCCTCTCACTTTGGTAGGAAAACATCGCTGAGGGAAGGCAGTAAAATATCCTTAGCAGAGGTCATTTGAAGCACTTGGTTATATGACAGCATTTCTTGGGGTGGAAGTAGAAGGTGGCCAGTCACAATCTAAGACGTCCACCAATGACAAAAAGAGCCTCTTATGCTTTAGCGATTTTCTGCCGAGCTTATGAACCATTTGTTTTGTTCCGCAGACCTCGCCATCCGTTGGGTTCCGCGCCGGTGCTCAGTCTGAACTCACTCACCTACGATCAGCTTGTGTTAAACGCACCGAGGAGTCATCAGTTGTTGGTACTTTGTGTTCGTGGTGGTGGAAAAGCTACATCCCAGGATGAACGGTTGTGTAAACGATTCTCGCGCCTCACAGCTCATTGCGTGTAAGTACTGCACGATATTCTCTCGACCTTTGCTCACATATTTGCCTATTCCTAACACATTGCGAGTTACTTCTGTGTACGATTTGCTCCATCAAAAAAGGATTTATTAATACTGTTGGGTTGCAATGTAAATCTCACCTTTTACGCCAAATACAATTCCATTTTTAGAACTTTTTGATGTAATACATCCGCAGTGCGCAAGATGCCTTTAAGGTTTTCCCTACGTGTTTTCCGTGTATCCTTGCTATCATTGTACCAGAACGATGAAATTCGGAACACTTCTGACACGGTGTACTAAACGGTTAGATTCACCAAATCATCGTACAGTGAAATATAGTGAGGCGAACTTCACTGGTTGCCGCCAAACTCAATGCATAAAGGCAAGTAAGACTGTGTGAAATGGATAGGGATTGGGTCTATTTTGGGCGACGGAGAAAGAAAGTCAACCTCTATACTCAACGCACAGAATACCCGGTCCCTCTCTGTTCATACTTAACTTTTCAAGCATTCTGGCCTGATGAGAAATGAAAACAAGAACGCCACCGCTGTCGGTTATTTGCCACATCCTTCAGTGTCTCCAACCATCCAGTTAGGGAGTATTTGGGACTCCGACCCGAAAGACTAGATACCCACTACCTACTCGCTCTGTGTATTTCTTTGAGTCTCAACTCCACGTCATCTGTTAACCTCCATGTGGTTTTGTTCAGTCTGGAGCGGTCATTGCAAATAAGGTGCAGTACGGTAGGCGACCGTTAGACATACGCAAAAGCTGTACCAACCAGCAGAGCCTATTGTTATATTTATGTATTTTTTTCACACACATCTGAGACCAGACTGTGGGCCAAACAAATCGCAGTACAATAAGCTTGATTAAAACAACGTGATGCATGATTTTCTCTAGGGCGTAATACTGTTAGGTTGTCCAGACTAAAGCCGATGAATTTTCTTAGGAATTTACAACGTGAGCCTTCGACTAGCCAAAGTCTGACCGGCAGATCAGTGAAGCCGTGTGTGAAAACCGCAATCCATTGGGAGCGGGTGTATAGTTCGTCGGACCATACGCTTTATGGACAGGGTTAAATTTCCAAGGTGACTAATACACCTCGATGTTCTATCACACCGGTGACCACTGTCACAAACAGCAAGTTACGTGTGTGTGTGTGTGTGTGTGTGTGTGTGTGTGGTTCGAACGCCTCTTATCGGTTGGTTTGGAATCGGGGTTCTAGCCAACTCTCTTAGGTGAACTGTCAGTTGTTCACGGACTCGGTTATAGCCCCGGATGTGGGCTTTTCGTCCTGCGTAAGTTGTTCGGGCCTTCGAAATGCGAGGGGTTATCTCCTCTGATGCGCTAGCATCGTTGGTCACGCAACTACCCTAGTGCGAGAAGTAGTCAACTTCAGCTAATTCCCGACCATATAATCAAAGAACAGGACTAGTCCACAACCA